TCTCTCTCTCTCTCTGTCTCCACTCGGGCGCGTTTTGATCTTCAAACTCAATGCGCCGACCCCAATCTATCTGTCTTGACTCCACTCTACCGGCGCTGAAGGGGGAGTTGGACCGATCGATCAAAGCTGTGCTGGGCCCAAGCCATGGAATTTTGCCGCTGCGCCTCGTCGCGCTGCACCGCTTTGCTTGGGCACATCCACACCTCTCGGCAAGTCCGACGCCCGTGCGTGCAGCAGCAGCTGCGTGTTGTTGTTGGACCCAAATTCGACGCGCGCCCTCCCCTCGGCACACCAGCACAGCATCGCAGCCCAGCAGCACAGCCAAAAAAGGCGCGAAAAAAGCAGAGTGGTGTTGGTCTTTCGAAATGCAGCTCCAAAAGAAACGCCCGGCTTGGGGTCTCTCCCGATCCCAAGCATCCGATGCCGATTCAGGCCAGCCTCAGCTTCTGACGAATAGCATGACGGTCTGATTAGCACGGTCGGTCTCTAGTATACAGTACAAATAAAGTATCGCCATCTTGCCGCTCAAGAAGAGTTGTTGGATTTGGTGGTAGCGCTGCCACAGCTCTGTTCGATTTCGTGCTCTTCCCGCTCGAGTCGGCGCATGGTGGCCATGAGCACGCGTTGGCGCCGCTCCTCTGCGCTCTCGCTCTCCGCCCCCGAACCTCCTCCCAGCCTCTGCCCTCCACCCGATATTGTCGGTGGCGAAGGCTCGTACACGTCGCCCTCGACGAGCCTGTGCGTGCCATCGCGCTGCGCCCGTTCGTACTCCTCGATCTGCGCGTTGAGCTTGCTGTTCAGAATCTTGAACTCGGGCGGGTGGTCGGCGACCTTGTTGTGCGCCAGCTCGTGCACCAGCACACGCCGTGTCGTCTTGTAGTCCCGGAACCCCTCGGCATCATCCGTGCGTATGCGCAGCAAGATCCGCTGCCCCGCATTCTCGTTGAGCCCGAGCAGGCCGGGATGTTCCCATGGCAGCAGTTCGGTAAGCGCACCCACGCGGAAATGGTTGAGCGCGCAAATGTGCAGGATGCCCGGATCGCGACTCAGCCGCGTGAGGTAGTCGACCACCTTGCCGTGCAGAGGCGACGACTCGGGCGTCGTTGCATGTGCGTAGATCTTGCCGAATGGCGAATGGCTCGAACCGGGCTGCGTTGTGTTGCGAAGCTTGGCGCCACGAAGCAGGCTCGGATGGTACTGCCGCGGTGCGTTGCGTCTCTGCATGTCCGCCTCGGCAGAGTACAGCGCCTCGAGCTCCGAAGACGATGGTCCCAGCACCGTCACCTTGGTCTCGGCTTTGCTCGCCAGGCCAACATCGCCCAGCGTGCGCTCGTCCGCACCATGATTGAGGTCGGCTACACCAGCCGTACGCGGCACAAGCAGCTTCTGCTTATCCGCAGCAACGTACGTCAGCTCCTCGATTGCCTGCCGCAACTGCGCAACGGTGGTGTCCGACCTCAGACCCTGCGCAGTGTACGACTGCTTGCGGTACACCACTTCGAGGCTGAAACTGTCCATGATGAACGTGCGATTCTTCCACCACCTCCGTGCGTCGACGCCCAGCGCTTTCTGTGTTAGTATCGCTTGAACAGTATGCGGGTGTTGGTTGTTGCAGGTCAAGACGGCCTCGACGGTGGCAAGCCGAGCTGAGCTTTAGCTTGAGCCCAAAAAAATCCAGGCCAAGGTGGAGGTTCAGCCGGGCTTAAAGCGCAGTCGTAAGCGCCGACGCGTGGCCTTGGCCGGCAATCCACTCGAGAAGCCCAGGCACCAACCCGGCCGAATGGACGTCCGCCCCAGGGTTCGGCAGCTTGTTCCTGATTCCGAATTGTCTGGCGCTTCTTCTAGCCTGCCTGTGCTTGACTTTCTGCCAGGACCGAGCCAAGTCGCACCGACAGCACACAGGGCGGGGCAAACCCTTTCGGCCCTGAGCTTCCGAACCCTAGGCGCTCTACCTCACCAAAGGAATGCAGAGTGCACATGCGAATCTCGAGTTTTTCCGCAACATGCAGCTTGGCGCTACACCACTTGGTGCCCGCTTTCGGCTGTCCACGCCCTTCTCTTTCGTTCGTTCGAGCCTGTTCTTGTCCATAAAAATTGAGCCCGACCATAGTCAAACCTGCAATTTGACGGGTGTGTCTGTGTTGAAGCCAGTGCGGGTTGCTCGTATGGGGGACACGTGGCAGCGCCTGTGATTTTGGCCGAGGTGAGCAGCACGAGTGGGATAGAGGCATGCAGTGGGCAGTGGGCACAGAGGCATCGCCGGGCTGACCGGCTACTCGAAGCGCCGCGCGTCTAGCCGGTCCAAAGCCGAACACCTACGGACAGGAAGCTCTCTTTTTTTCGATTTCTGACTAAACTGCGAAGCCGCGTGTTTGTGCCGCGCGCTCACTCACCGCCAACGGGCTCTTCTGCGCGCGGGGGAAGAGAAATCCCCACAAAATTCATCCGCTTGGCTTCGGCGGCCCTGGGGCAGCATCCCAGCAGTCGCCTCGCGCGCACGGCCTCTCTCTCTCTCTCTGCGAGAGGCAACCCAACGACGGCTGCTTTCCGGTTCGCCCCCGGACAACCTCTTCCCGGACCCTTTGGCCGCCCCACGCCCAGCAGCATGGATTCGCTACAAGTACCCAAGGCGGTCCCTTTACCTTGTGCCTCCTCCATCACCCCCGCCTTGTTGATTCGCTCGAGCTTCTTGCACACTCTCTTCTAGTGTCCTCTCCCCTCTCCTCTCTATAACAGACACACACACACTCCACCATGTCGACCGTGCTTCCTGCCAGCCTGGGTGGCGACGCGCTCATCAAGAACTACGTCGGCGCCGGCACGTGGGCATTCATCGAGGACAAGTTCACGCCCTTCGGCAAGGAGACGCTCGCCAAGGTCATCCGCTTTATCATTGACGAGTGCATCCCCGCAGAGAGGCTGTACCACGCCCAGGTGTCCACCGACCCGGCCAAGCGCTGGAAGGTGGTGCCCGAGGTGGTGGAGCAGCTCAAGAAGAAGGCCAAGGCACAGGGGCTCTGGAACCTCTTCCTCTCGGCCAAGCACTACCCGGACGTCGGATCGCCGCTCACCAACCTCGAGTACGCCGTGATCGCCGAGATGACCGGTCGCTGCTCGCACTTTGCCTCCGAGTCGCTCAACTGCGCCGCACCCGACACGGGCAACATGGAGGTGTTTGCCAAGTACGGCAATGCGCAGCAGAAGCAGACGTGGCTCACGCCGCTGCTCAACGGCGAGATCCGCTCGGCTTTCGCCATGACGGAGCGCTTCATCGCCTCGTCTGATGCTACCAACATCCGCACCTCGATTCGTCAGGAGGGCAACGAGATTGTCATCAACGGTCACAAGTGGTGGATCTCGGGTGCGGGTGATCCGCGCTGTGCCGTCCACCTGGTCATGGGCAAGTCGGACCCCGAAAACTCCAACACGCACGCACAGCAGAGCATCGTCATTGTGCCCGCCAACGCGCCCGGCGTCAAGGTGATCCGTCCGATGACCGTGTTTGGCTACGACGACGCACCCGAGGGCCACTGCGAGGTGATCTATGAGAATGTGCGCGTGCCGCTCGGCAACCTCGTGCTTGGCTGGGGTCGTGGCTTCGAGATCATCCAGGGCCGTCTGGGACCTGGACGCATCCACCACTGCATGCGCACCATTGGTACGGCGGAGCGCGCGCTCGACCTCATGCTCGCACGCGCCACCGACCAGCGCAAGCGTGCGTTTGGCAAGATGCTCTCGGAGCACGGCACGATCATCCAGAACATCGCGTGGGCGCGCATCAAGATCGAGCAGTCGCGTCTGCTCGTCCTGTCCGCCGCCAACATGATCGACAAGACTAACGCCAAGGGGGCACTGCGCGAGATCGCCATGTCCAAGGTCGCTGTGGTCAATGCGGCGCTCGAGGTGCTCGACATGTCCATGCAGGCCCACGGCGCCGAGGGCGTGTCGCAAGATACCATCCTGGCGTACGCCTACGCCCAGCTGCGTACGCTGCGTTATGCGGACGGCCCCGACGAGGTGCACCTGCAGCAGCTCGGCAAGCTCGAACTGCGCCGAGCACCCGAGGTGTGGGAGAGGCTCAACAAGACCAACGCCATCTCGGAAGGCCTGCTCGCCAAGAACGGCCTCAAGTCGCACCTTTGAGGTACTGTAGGTGGCAAGTAGTGTTGGGAAATCCAATGTCGTTTCGTAGCATTCCGCAGTGGCAAGTGACGGTGCGGATGGCGTGAGAGTGGCGTTGGTTGATGAGGAGAGATGGCGAGACGCTATGGGGGAGCGGTCTAACAGGCTTTTTTTTTGGCGCGCGCGCGGAGTGATGCAAGTGGAGGCCGATGCGGGATTAAGCGCGCCACCCGCTGCAAGTTTGGCCGCTGCCTCCGATGCGCCCCACTTTTGTGCGGCATGCTTGCAACTGCACGTCCACCATCCTTTGCGTCCCACACCCCGGCCGAGGTTCCGAGCTGAGCCGATTCGAGTCAGCCCTGGCCACCACCCGCGCGCCTCGAAGCACAGTCAACGATGCGCGCATCCCCAAAGCTAGACACTTAGCTCACCACAGCTGCACATTCGGGATGACTTCGAACCAATTGTACCAGGACGCGCCGGGTCTGGAGCCGCAACGAGACGTGAAGGCCGTAGCGCGCGAGCACTGTCATACGGATCAGGACGATGTGGCGCGCGAGCTCGAGGCAGGCCGTGTCGAAGCAGCAGCGGATGACGAGTTTGCCATGGAGGATGCCGAGACGTACGGGGAGCGTCTGACGCGCGTGCTCACGGGCGAAGCCGACGCAACACAGCCCTCTTCAGCGCGGAAAGACGGTGGATCGAACCGTGCACCTCGATCCAAGCTCGCGCTGATGCGTCGTAGGAAGGCCGACGCGAAGCGCAACAAGGCGAGCAAGGCGGCTTGGAGGACGGGCGTGCGCGAGCGAGCCGAAGAGCTGGCGCGCACCGCCGACTCGGAAAAAGCAACGCAGGCCCGACCCACCCAGAGTGCGGCGAGTGGCACATCGAGCACGCAAGCGAGCGATGTGCCGCACCGCATCAAGATGGTGGGTGACGATGGCAAGCCCATGCGTCGACACGGCATCCGCGAGCGCGTGCTCCACTTTACCCCCTCGTGGTTTTCGGTGACCATGGGCACGGGCGTCATCGCCACGCTGCTCAATCTGCTACCCTGGCCTTCGATCCACTCGGGGCTGCGATACCCGGCTGCGGTGTTTCTGCTGGCGGACATTGTGATCTTCATCGTCTTCCTGTGCGCGTTCCTGGCGCGGTACGTGATGTACCCCGAGGTGCTGCCGCTGACCATCAAGCATCCGCAAAAGTCGATGTTCCTAGGCACGCTGCCCATGGGCCTGATTACGATCGTCAGCGGGATTGCCCAGCTGGGCACGGTCGAGTTCGGCTTGGGCGTCGGCTTTGCACTGGCAGCGAGTGGGGTGTGGTGGGCATGTGTGGTGCTGAGTCTGCTAACGAGCATAGGCGTGCCGTTTAGCATGATGACGTACCAGAAGCACTACTTTGAAGGCATCACCGCCGCCTTGTTGCTGCCCATTGTTCCGCCCATCACCGCCGCTGCAACGGGCAGCGTGCTCGCCGAGATCTTTATCGAGCGCTACCCGACGTATGCCTTTACGATCATGGTGGTCAGCTATCTGGTGCTCGGGATCGGGTTGCCGCTGGCACTGCTGATCCAGGTGCTGTACTTTCAGCGTCTGCTGCTGTTCAACAGTCCACCGAGGGACGTGATCATCTCGGTGTTCCTCCCGCTCGGACCGTGCGGCCAGGGCGGCTACGCCTGTCTGCACCTCGGCCGTGTGGCGCTGCAGCTCTTTCCCCTCATTTCGACACCGGCATCGTCCTCGGGTGTGCCGCAGCTCTTCTCGGTCGGCCAGGCTCTGTACGGCGCTGGGCTCATTTCGGCCATGATGCTCTTTGGGCTGGGCATGTGGTGGCTCGTGATCGGCGTGTGCACAATCATACGCGAGCTGAGCCACGGCAAGCTCGGCTTCAACATGGGCTGGTGGGGTCTCACCTTCCCCTCGGCCAGTCTCGCCATCTGCACCGCGAGCCTGGCGGTGGAGCTCGACAGTCTGGCACTCAAGATCACCTATACCGCGCTGGTGATCGCCAACATCGCGCTGTGGACGTATGTGGCGATCCCGACAGTGCGTGGCGCGTGGACGGGAAGGCTCTTCAGCGCGCCGTGTCTGGCGGATCTGCCGCTCAAGCCATAGTGGAAGCTACGAGGTGCTGCGTCTTGTATGTTACCGTCTTGTCTTTGCAATCGGTGTCATCGTCTCGCAGTGGAGCATGGTGTCGTCGTCAGAGACGCGCCGGCCTAACAGTGAAAAAACGCGTGCCGAGAGCGAGACGCGTGTGGGGTGTGTTGTGAGACGCGCCGAGACAGCAGGAGCGCGCGCGCGTCGCACGTCGTGTAAATTGCAGCACCACGCGCGGTGAAGCGCAGCAGCCAAGGCGAGTCGTGAGCCCTGAATCCAAGGCAATCGAGGCAGAGATGGGCAGGAAATTCCACAGGGCTCAATCCCTCCTCGCGCCAGTCCGCAACACTTGCTTTCCTTCTCGACATCCAGCCCACTCTTGCTCATCCTCGTCACACTCGCACATTTTCACACTCGACATCGCACACATCCTCGGCGGCTAGACACTCCCGAACGCCGCGCAGCACCGCAGCAAACATCGCTTCAGATACCCCCCCGCTGCCGAAAGAGGGTCTCGTCGCCATGGCTGCATCCGCGCCCATCCTGCCGACGATCTCGATCAACGTCGACTACGACGAGGAGCGCCAGAAGATCACCGACTTCCTGTGCTTCTTCAAGGCGCCCGCCTCGCGGCTCACCACTCTGGTCTCGCACGGCGCAGGTGCGCCCATCAGCCTCGAGGATGCCGACGACGACCAAGACGAGCTGGAGCGCGAGCTGAGCGGTGCCATCGACCGCATGGATGTGGACCGTTCGGCGGCGCAGCGCCGCAGCCGCGCACGCGCCGAGGCCGAGGCGTCGAGCTCGCGCCAGGTGCCGTTCTACATGCACCAGCTGCAGAACATCGCCAACCGCGAGCAGGACTCGCTCGTCGTCGAGCTCGACGATGTCGCCGCGCACGTCAACACAACAACGGGCGAGTCGGGCGCACAGCTCGTCGGAGCCATCCGCAGCAATGCCAAGCGCTATGCGGATCTGTTCGCCGAGTGCGTGGACCGCCTGGTACCCGAGCCAAGCAAGGACATCTCGCACAAGGACGACGTGCTCGACGTCATCCGCCACCAGCGCATGGAGCGCAACGCCCGCACCGTCGAGAGCGCCCAAGACCCCAACGACACCGGCGTCGCACCCGAAGACGCCAGCGATAACGTCTTCCCGCCCGTGCTGCTGCGCCGGTACACGCTCTACCTCAAGCCGTCCACGCGCCGGGTGGCGGGAGAGCAGCCCGAGGAGCCGCTGGCCGTGCGTGCGGTGCGCGGCTCGCATCTGGGCAAGCTCATCACGGTGCGTGGTATCGTGACGCGCGTGTCGGAGGTGAAGCCGTTTCTGCTGGTGGATGCGTATGCGTGCGACGTGTGCGGCGCCGAGGTGTTCCAGGAGGTCACCTCGCGCCAGTACATGCCGCTGACGCAGTGCAACTCGCGCAAGTGCCTCACCAACAACACGCGTGGCCCACTGTATCCGCAGGTGCGCGCGAGCAAGTTCGTGCCGTTCCAGGAGGTCAAGATCCAAGAAATGGCCGACCAGGTTCCCGTCGGCCACATCCCGCGCACCATGACCATCCACGTCTATGGCCCGCTCACGCGCGCCATGAACCCGGGCGACGTCGTTCACGTCGGCGGCATCTTTCTGCCCATGCCCTACTCGGGCTTCAAGGCGATCCGTGCCGGTCTGCTCACCGACACGTATCTGGATGCACAGAGCATCCACCAGCTCAAGAAACAGTATACCGCCATGCAGCGCACGCCCGAAATCGCCGCACAGATCGCAGAGCTCAAGGACGACCCGGCGCTGTACCAGAAGCTGGCGTCGAGCATTGCGCCCGAGATCTACGGCCACGAAGACGTCAAGAAGTGCCTGCTGCTCCTGCTCGTCGGCGGAGTCAGCAAGACCGTTGGGGATGGCATGAAGATCCGCGGCGACATCAACGTGTGTCTGATGGGCGATCCCGGTGTGGCCAAATCGCAGCTGCTCAAGTACATCTCCAAAGTGGCGCCGCGCGGCGTGTACACGACGGGACGCGGTAGTTCCGGCGTGGGTTTGACCGCGGCGGTGATGCGCGATCCCGTGACGGACGAGATGGTGCTCGAGGGTGGAGCGTTGGTGTTGGCGGACAACGGCATTGCGTGCATCGACGAGTTCGACAAGATGGAGGAGAGCGACCGCACCGCGATTCACGAGGTGATGGAGCAGCAGACGATTTCCATCTCCAAGGCGGGCATCACCACCACGCTCAATGCGCGCACCTCGATTCTGGCGGCGGCGAATCCGCTGTACGGACGGTACAATCCGCGTGTGAGTCCGGTGGATAACATCAATCTGCCTGCTGCGTTGCTGTCGCGATTCGACATTCTGTATCTCATCCTGGATACGCCTTCGAGGGACGATGACGAGAGGCTTGCGCAGCATGTGACGTATGTGCATATGCACAGTGCGCATCCGGAGCTCGAGTACGATGTGATCAGCCCCACGCTCATGCGCCACTACATTGCGCTCGCGCGACAGAAGCGTCCTGTCCTCAGCAAGGCCGTGTCGGACTACGTCGTGGGCGCCTACGTCCAGATGCGCAACCAGTACAAGGAAGACGAACTCTCCACCGACTCCACTGGCCCCTCATCTAGCGGCACCGGCTATGTCAGCGCACGAACGCTACTGGGTATCATTCGTCTTTCCCAGGCTCTGGCGCGTCTGCGATTCGACGATCAAGTCTCCCTCCCCGACGTAGACGAGGCTCTGCGTCTGCTCGAAGTCTCCAAGAGCTCCGTACTCAACCACCCCTCGTTGGCGACACGAGATGTGGCACAGGACCATACCTACATCTCCAAGATCTACCGCATCATCCGCGAGTTCTACAATACCCACACAGCCGCGCTCGCCGACGACGACGCCATGGACATCGACCATGCCATCCCCATCCCCCAGCTCAGAGCACGCATCCTCGCTTCCGGCTTCGTAGAGGACCAGTTCCAAGAGTGCCTCCAAGAGTACCAGGACTTGGGCGTTCTTCAGGTCTCGGCAAACCGCCTCCTCTTCCTCTAGTCTCTCGACCTTGTCATTGTAGTTCCCCGTCTCGTATCCAATTCTTCAGTTTTGATTTTCCTTGGGCAGCCACAGCAGAGCTTGTTCAAGAGAATCCAACTGTGGCCATGGTCAAGAGCGAGGATCAAAGGTTGCTGACGATTCAGAGGTATACGCGGTGCGAGGAATGAGGCCGGAACAGAGAAGCGCAGCGATGTCGACGGTAGGTATGAGACAGGATGAGCAGAGCATGCGATGCGGGAGCCGAAGCGGACACGACTTTTGTGTAGTGATGATGTAGACGGAACGGAAAGTGCGATGCGAGAAAAAGGAATCAAAAAAAGGAGTTCAGCCGCAACAGGTCCAGCTGTTGGGCGTGATGGCGGGTTGATCGGCGCCGGCGAGGAGCTGATCGGCGTCGTGCGACGAGAGAAAGATGCTGTTGCGTTCGCGCTCGGCGCGGTCGTGCTCAATCTGGCTGCGACGCTCGACGAGCTTCTTGGTGACGGCGAGAAAGACCTCTTCGATGCCGCGGTCATCCTTGGCCGACACCTCGGAAACTTCGACGACATCCCACGAGAGGCTGAAGCCAAACGCATCCAGGTCGGCGGCGGCGTCGCGACCGGGATCGCTGGCTGCGGACCCGCTGGAAGCGGCGCTGCTGCCAAAGCTGCTGGGCTTGAGCCCACCGGCCACGGCTGATGCCGGCGTTGCAGCCTGGCTGGACGTCCGTTGGAACGCGGCAAGACGCGAGGCAGATCCGATCGCCAGGGAGCTCAGGCCGCTCAGCCGTGACGAGGGACGCGTGGGCGAGCCCGGACTGCCGTCCGAGACGTTGGCGAAGCCCGGCGTGGGGAAGGTGATCGCCTGTGTCTGGTAGGGCTGGAGCCAGCTCTTGACGGTGGCGCGTGCGTAGTCGAGCTCGACCTGTCGCTGGGACCAGGCGAGATCGAGCTTGGCGCCGACGACGTGGATGACGAGGTCGGTGGTCATGTTCTTCTTGAGCTCTTCGATCCAAGCACGCACGTCGAGGAAGCTAGACATGGAGGTAATGTCGTACACGATCACGGCAGCGTGACTGCCGCGATAGTACATGGGTGCCATGCTGCGGAAGCGCTCCTGTCCTGCCGTGTCCCAGAGCTGCAGGCGCACCTTGACGGCATCGACGATGAGCTTTTTGGTCAAGAAGCTGGCGCCGATGGTGGAAGGTGTAGAGGCGACGCTGAACTGGCCCGAAGTGTAGCGATGGACGAGCGAGGTCTTGCCGACGCCCTGTGAGCCGAGGATGACGACCTTGGCTTCGAGCTGGTTGTTGGGCAAGGTGCCACGTTCGCGGATACGGCTTGGAGGCGAAGAGACCGAGATGGCGCTGGCGCCGTTGGCATGGGGCGTGTGCTGTTGAGCGTAGGATAGGGTGCGGCTGGGGACAGGAGAGACACCGGCGATCTGCTGTGCCGGAGCTGCGCGATCGAGCGAAGTTGGCGACACGTTGGAGACGGTCTGTCGGCGCTGATTGAGCTTGGGAGCCTGCCTGCCGCTGCTGGGGCCGTAGGTCATGGCGTTGGGAGGCGGAGAACGATGGGAGGAGGAGTCGTCTGCGCGCTTCTGGGCAGCTGAGCTGATGCCTGTTGTAATGGTGTGACTGCGTCGCAGGAAGCCTTGGTTGGAAGCGTGGGCAGAGAAGGGAGCGCCCATCTGGCCGAATTCGCTCAGACCCGAGTCGAGCTTTGGGCTGGTGGAAGAGCGCCGCGCGCGCGGTGGCAAAGCGGCGGTGTCCGTGTGACTTGACGCTGGCCATGGATGCGAGGCGGAGGTGGGCGAGCGTGCGGAAGGGCGGTCTGCGGTGGTGGAGTAGGCAGCCACGCTCGACTCGGCGAGGGGCTGGAGCGACTCGACAGCGTTGCGCGAGGGAGCCCTGCCGAGGCTGGGATGCGAAGTGTGAAAGCGGGAGGTGGAGATGAAAGCACGACCGCTGTCTTGTTCGGTGAGCGAAGGAGATGCTGGTGCCGAGTTGAGGCTCTGCAAGCTGCGCAAGCGCGGCCGAGAAGAGCGGCGCGCGTCGGGGCCACGGTAGGTGCGCGGTGCGCTCGATTCGGCGACTGCGGTTGCGACACCGGGAAAGGGCGTGTTGGAAGAGGCATTACCGGCGGTCGATGATTGTGTTTGACTGTGCTTGGCGTCGCTGCTTGATTCGGCTGACGCGGGTGTGGACGTCTGATGCGAGAACGGTGGGAGTGATGGGAACTGGAGCTCCTTGGTCGGGGTGGCCACGGGCGATGAGAACGCCGATGGAAAGGGGTGGGGCATTGTGCCGAGGACTACCTGTGCCGTCATTCTATCGTTGGCGAAGGATGACCGCTTGAACGCTACGCCTGTGGCTGAAAGAAGGTTGTCTGCTGCGTTGGCTTCGACGTCAAACTTTCCCTTTGGTGTGGGTTGACCAAGTGATGGAGGCGTATCGGATGATGGCGAAGCGCAAAGGAGATGGCGAAGAAAGGCGAAGCTGAGGTTGGGGAGATCTGGGTGGAGTCCAGAAGCAATGGGAAGGGGGCAGGGTGCGCTTAGCACGAGGCAAGCTGCAGGGATCGACAGGGTCCGTGGACGAACAAATTGGAGTGCTTGCGAAGAAAGGGTCCGGGGGTGGGTGGTTTATCGAAAGATGATCTACACGTTGTCCGGAAGCGGGAGCGAGATGGCGAGCGCGGATGCGTAGCGAGTTGAGATTGACGGATCGGGAAGATGCCGGGTATGGCGAATGGCGTGCGGGGAGACGAAGAGGGAAGGAAGATCCAATGGCCAGTGCCAGCGCCAGATGCGAAGGTCTAGAGGCGGATGGAGATGCTGACTCGCATGCGATACATCAAAGTGGGTTCGAGGGCGAGGAGGGCGAGGAGGGCGAGAAGGTGTGTGCTCGAGCCGCAACTTGATTCAGAAGACGCACCGTGTTGAAGGTCCGAGGCACGTCAAAGGTGTATTGGATGAGGCGGGCCGTGCAAATGGATCCGTGCGTAGAAGCAAAGAGGCTCGAAGGCTGTGCGGATGAAGGCAGGCGAGGACCTGACGCAACGGTTGGGAGACGGAAGGGACGAGCCAGGAACGGAAGCGCCGAGGTGGTGGCAAGGGTTGGTGGAGTCGAGCCAATCTTCCTGAGACAGGGTCTTGTCTTGATTTAGAGCTGCGGTAGCGCCGAAGCGAGGCTTGTACAGCGACGAGGGAGGAGGATCTAGATGGATGACTTGGGGCGGGAGAGGCGTCACTGAGGAGGTGATGAGGCGAGGAGGGGCGAAGAGTGCGTGCGGCGGCGGTGGGGACAGAGGCGCAGCGGGCAGCAAAGCGAGGAGCTGCAGAGGAACAGTAGCTGGGAACGATGTGCAGCAACGGATGCGCCTGCACGACGGCCGAGTGCTGCGCAGCTGTGCAGGCGGGCCCGAATTGATGCAATCTGCGCAACCTTGGATGGGTGACAGTCGCAGCAAAAGAGATGCCGACGTTGCGATGCGCGGTCGATTGACGTGCTGAGCCAGAGATTGTTGAGAAGGCCAAGACGTGTCGGATGAACCGCTCTATGATACGATAGCTCCAAAGCTAGTTGGCTGGGCGGTGGCGCGGTGTGGTGGAGACGCTTGCAAAAAAGTGCGGATCTGGACTGTATGCGTGGTGCTGCAGGTGGGTGCAATGAGAGGAATGCGGAGCGGAGAGGATGGCGGGATGGGAAGCGATGGGTCGTGGATGGAGGCCATGCAAGAAGCTGCAGGTGACAGCGAGGTAAGTTGGTAATATGTTGCGTCGAGGTGTGGCCAGGATGGGCGTCGCTGATGAAGGGCGGGCGATATCAGCTGCACATCCGCGCATTTGGCTGCATCTCAGCTGCACACTTTGGCTGCATCACGCTGCACCGCGCTGCAACCGACGCTCTTTTGGTTGCAGCGCGCTTGGCCCACCGGCCAAAAACGCAGCCGTTGCGACCAACACTTTTTTGGCCCCTCTTTTTCCAGCACGCCGGGCCATGCACACCGTCGGCTTGGCCGTGCCGGGACAGCATGCGCTCGTGCTTGCGCTCAAGCTCGGGTCGGCCAAGCTGCTGTCGAGCTCCAGTCCACCGCCAGTCACGAGCACGACCTGACCTGACCTACGCAAGGCCAAGCCACCGCGGATCGCATTGGGCAGTAGAGTGTCGCTCGACGAGAGAGCACCGCCCACAACACCCGCCCAGAGAACCCCCACTCGAGTTCTTTTTGTTTTACAAAAAAAAAAA